ATTACTCACTTGTGTGAGGATGATGGACTTCCATTACGGGTAGGAGCTGATGGAAACCAAGAATATGGTCGAAGCTGCGGTGGTGAGTAAGGAGGCTGCTGAGGGGAAGGTGAAGGTTCTGAGAGTTGAAATTGTTGAGCTGAAAAGAATTCATGACGAGTTAGACGCCTATTACGAGGACCTCTCCAGGCTTAAGGATTCCTAGCTAGAAGCCCAAGAATCCAATCTTAAGGCAAAAGATATTGAATTGGCAGCCAAGGACACTGAGTTGGTGTCTCTAAGGGCCAAAGTGTCTGAGCTTCTCAAAAAGGGCTTTGTCGCCTTTGTGAAAGGGTTCTTGAACTTTTGAGAACAAGTAGAGAGGGCTTATCCAGACCTTGATCTGGATTCCTTTGCACCATAGCTCGAGATGAAGAAACCGACATTAGTGGTTGATTCAGCTGACCCGGACACAAAAGTTGGGGCGTCTAGAGCCGAGAAGGGTCCTGAGGCTGAAGAGGCTGGGACAGAAGAGCCCAGTGCTGAGGAAAAAACTGATGAGGCCAGTAGGGGTGGGGAGTCTTTTGCCTGAACCTAGCTTGTTGCTGTCTTTTCTTCTTTATTTCATTGTAATCTCTTGGATGCTGCCTTTGTACTTATCTCCTTTTATTAATGACACTGCTATTGTTTCCCATTACTGACTCTTTATGTTTCATGAATGTGCTGCAATTCGCTCTACTTTTCTTTGGTACTGATGGATGGAAATGTTTACTTTGAGTCATGTTGCTGTAGGACTTGTTGCCAATTTTGGTGATAGCAAATTGTGATCATCAAGTTGCCTTTGAGGGTAATTCTGATAAGAACGAAAATGGCGCTAACCACTTTCCTTAACTGACTTTGTTGATTAACTGAGCTGACTTTATCCCGTTGTCATGATGACCTTTCCCATTTGCCGAGTTGAGTTGGCCAATTCGAGTGGGGTTATTTTAGACTTTTCTTATTCCTTTTTGTCTACAACAATCTTGACGATTTTATTCAGTTGGGGAATGTGGGCCTCCAGTGGTGGTAGTGGCTCCTCAAAATCTGCGCTTAAGGTCTCCTATAGTCGCCACTTTTCCCTTGTCATAAATGTGATGGATGCTTATTAATTGCTCCTTGTAGAGGTGTTGCACGCATATTTGCTTCGCCTATAAATAGGCTGCTCTTGGAGAATGATTGCTTTACTTTGAGCGCCAAATCTTCCTATTCCCCTTCCCTAGTGTGAGATTTCTTTGTTGGTGTTCAGAAAACCCATTTGCATTCTATTGTCATGGCTAGGACTCCTTATTCGTCCTATGATACTATGGAGCCAATCTTCCCTAACACTGAAGTTAGTGAAATTAATGAGGGAAAGGCCCAAGCTATTGCTAGGCGTTTCGAGTTTCCCATCGGGGTGGTCGTTCGCCATGTTGATTGGCGTTAGTTTCAGTGCTCCCTGAGGGGCTTAGTTTCCTTCTTCGAAGTCCCTTTTCTGTTGGGGCTTCAATTTCCTCTTCCCCCTTTCATCCGAGGGATTTTACATTTTTTTAGTTTCTTCCCCACCATGCTTCTTCCATCTGGGTGGGCGGTCTTTTTGGCATTGATGGTGATGTGGGAGAGACTATTTCCCCATTCTAGGGTCAATTTGGTTGAGTTTCTCAACTTTTTTTACTTGGTAGAAGTATCTGAGTTCGAGCAATTTTGTCCCTAGACGAGGAGAAGAAATTCCCATCATTGATCTTCCTCTTGAGCCGGAAGGATGGAGGAGGAGATACTTCTTTGTCTTTGGAGATGGTTGGGAGTTTGCTTTTCACGTTTTAGCGTCGGTCAGAGTTCCCATGGCTTGGGGAGAACGTAAGAATCTTGGTAAGCTCTCCTTTTGTTGGTTTATTCTTGCAACATTTACCATTTTTTTTGTGTTGACGGTATTTATTTCCTTCATATGTTGTAGAGGAGCTTCCAACCTTATCTAGGGAAGAGCAACATATGGTCAATCAAGTCCGAACTCATTTGCCATTCTCTTTAAATGATTTGATACACCCCGAGCTTGCTTCTATGTAAAGCACCCATGAGACTGCCTTACAACGCCCTTATTCCCTTATTGCTTATTCTGCTAAGTCCCTATGTACCTGGTTAGCCAGCAGAATATGATCATGAAACACATGGGTCAGAGGAGGCGAGCCAGGGGTTCAAAGCCTTCAGCGAAGAAGGCTAGAATAGAGGAAAACAGATCGAACTCCGCTCCAGGCTCAGGTGTCGAATCTAAGGTTCCTGGTGTTACCGTCGAGCCATCAATAGTTGTGCCAATACTGAGCCTCCCTCCCCTGCCCGAGATATTGCCTAGTATTGATGGGGAGCCGATTTCTGAGCCTATGCCCACTGTTGAGGAGGTGCAGGTGTTAGAACTAGGGACTGGTGTTGGGGAAGCTACAGTAGCCACAGTTGTGATCAATTCGATAGGAGGGCTAATTCAACGTGGTTCTTCTCTTGTTGAAGCTGTGGGTTCCAGCTCGGATTGCACTGCTCTAGCTCCAATAGTTAACCTTGAGGGGAGCTTGTTGAATGATGTGACTCTAAGCAGCAACGCACTCATTAACTTTATTTCACAAGTTAATCTGTGCTGTTCTGTCAACCTTCCTTTCCGAGCTAGAAGCCGATATGTACTCCATGCCCTTCTTGAGGTAAGACCTGCCTTTCCCTTTAATTTTCTCTTGTTTCAGCCTCTGTGATGTTGTGATCATTTTCTTTGTTCTCAGGTAGTGCTGCACGTTTGTGCCCTTGGAGGGGAGGTTTACCATCTGAGGGACGACACTCACCAGAGGTGGACCGAGCTCCAAGAGGTTCATCGCCAGAATGCTGAGCTTCTAATTTGGGGTTTGGCCACTGAACATGAGTTGGAGAATTCCCTTGACTATCGGGCTCGAATCTTTCGGCAGTTGATAACTAGCACCACCTCCGAGGTATCTCTTTGGGAACAGTTGGCTTCTCAGCCCAAAGAGTTAGCTCGCTTGTGGTAACACTTTGATGCCCAGGTTGATGATCTAATCTATTTCGACATCGATAGGGCACTGCTGGCGGGACAGTTAACGAGGGTCTCATGTTGTGATTGTCGACCTGAATAGATCTCTGGCTGCCAAGCATTAGTTGGTCGAGGAGCAGTATAGAGAGATTGAGAAAGCCAGGATGGAGGCTGCCAAGGGTTTTGTAGATGGCTTCTTTAATTTTGCTGATCAGACGATTAAAAGTTCCTTGATATGTACCTTAACCAGTTTATGCCACGATTTGATCTTCCCCTAGGCGGTCCTTCTAGCAGTGGTCCTCCTGGTGCAGCTCCATCATCTAATCCTTGAAGATCAAGTTTTTTTTTTGTACCTTTCTTTCATATTTGTAGACGTTTTCCCTTCTTGTAATGAAATTGCCTTTTTGAGATGAAGTGTTGTCAATCGCTAGTTATGTTCCCTTACTCCCTACTCCAAAGAGGTCTTGACCTGTTTGGAGTATGTTTTTTTTTGTGATGAAGTGTTTTTGCTCGCAACTTGACTTGTATGATCCCAAGTTGTTCTACATTGGGCGGTGCTATTCCTTGGCTGGGCCAGCTCAGCTGTACGTTCTGCCCAGTTGCGCCCTTAAGCGGTATTATAGAACCTTCTTTTGCTGTTGCACGTTCTTGAGTTCAAGTGCAGGAATTAAGGTAAAGGCTCTTAAATGAACCAACCGATGGCCTACCAACCTTTACCTACCTATGCGCCATTATCATTGATTACTGTCATGATTGCAGAAGTTTAACAGTCTCCTGTTCACTTCTGCATGCTATTTATTTCTTGGTACTTCAAGCTCTTCACGTTCTTACTATCTCAGAAACCTTCTTGCTTTTTGTTTGTTCTTGGAGACCTTTTGCACTTTGTTTTTTTTCGAAACTCATGGCCTATTCCCGTTCTCGCCTAATCAAACAACCTTTGCATGCCATGATCAACGATTCCTGGTACTCAATCTTTTTGCTTCCCTCACTAGTTGTTGCCTCTGATGTGGAGGAGGTGGGGAGGCTGTTTGACTTCCTTAATGATTTAACGGTCAGAGCCCTTACTCTTGATGAGCCCTGCAACTTCTCCTTTTAGATGGAGGTTTGCTTCTTCGAAGGCTCATTTGAGATAGGCCTTCATCTCCCTATCCACCTAGACTTCAAGTGGGTTTTATCTTTCCATGGGTTATTCCCTTCTCGCCGTTCCCTTAAAGGGTGGGACACTCTTGTCAGTTTCTTCATTTTCTGGCATTTGCAAGGCTTTAGTGACTTTCCCACTGTTGCCAAATTCTTCTACTTTTTTGAACTTTCCTTTGATTTTCCCCTTGCTTCAGTCTCTTCACTTGGAGGTGATTTTTTTGCCCCCCACTGATCCCTGGCATCCCTAACTCGTCAGAGGGGTGGACCCAACATTTCTTTTTTGTTTCTGGGGACTCCTGGGAAACCATTGAGAGGCAGCACTGGTTCCTCGCTCTTGGGGGGTGCTTTCATAACAGAGGTACATAGTTAGGCATTTTACCAACTTCTGTCATGAAATTTGTACCTAACTACATACCTCTTTCACGAAAGCACCCCCAAAATCGAGGAATCCGAGTACGCCAGTGCAGCCTCTCGATGGTTTCCCAAGAGTCCTTAAAAATAAAAAAGAAATGCCGGGTTCACCACTCTGGGGAGTTAAGGATGCCAGGGATCAATAGGGGGCAACATAATCACCTCTAGGTGAAGCGACTTAATTAAGGGGGGAAATCAAAGAAAAGTTCAAAAAAGTAGAAGAATTTGGCAATAGTGAGAAAGTCACTGAGGCCTTGCAAATGCCAGAAAATGAAGAAACTGACAAGAGTGCCCCACCCTTCATGGGAAAGCGAGAAGGGCATAACCCGTGGAAAGATAAAACCCACCCAAAGTCTGGGTGGATAGGGAGACGAAGGCCCATCTCACTTGAGCCTTTAAAAAAAGCAAACCTCCCGCTAAAAGGAGAAATTACAGGGCTCTTCAGGAGTGAGGGCTCTGACCGTTAAATCATCAGGGAAATCAACCTGCCTCCCCACCTCCTCCATATCATAGGCAATAGGTACTGATGGAAGCCAAAATATTGAGTACCAGGAATTGTTGATCATGGTGCCAGTATATTGTTTGAATACGGAAGAAGGAGAAGAGGCCATGAGTTTTGAAAACAAGCAGAGTGCAAAAGGTCTCTGAGAACAAAAAAAGAGCAAGAAAGTTGCTGAGAGATAGTAAAAATGTGAAGAGCTTGAAGTACCAAGAAATAAATTGCATGCAAAAGTGAACATGCAAATGTTAAACTTCCACAATCATGACAGTAATCAATGATAACAACGCATAGGTAGGTAAAGGTTGGTGGGTCATCAGTTGGTTCATTTACGAGCCTTTACCTTAATCGGTGCACTTCAACTCAAGAACGTGTATTATCAAAAGAAGGTTCTGTAATACTGCTTAAGGATGTAATCGAGCAAAGTGTATAGTCGAGCAGGCCTGGCTGAGGAACAACATAGCCCAAGATAGAACAACTTGGGATCATACAAGTCGAGTCACGAGCAGCAACACTTCATTACAAAAAAATCATACTCCAACCAAGTCAAGACTCAATATGGAGCTGTACCAGGAGGACCACCGCTGGAAGGACCACCTGGAGGAAGATCAACTCGTAGCACAAACTGGTCAAGGACCAGATAAAGGAACTTTTTACTCGCCTAATCAGCAAAATTACAAAAGCCTTGGCAGCCTCCATCCTGGCTTTCTCAATCTCTCTGTGTTGTTCCTCGACCAATCGACGCTTGGTAGCCAAAGATCTATTCAGGTCAGTAATCATAGCTTGAGACCCCATCAACTGCCCCGCTAGCATTGCCCTGTCAGTGTCAGAATAGATCAAATCATCAACTTAGGCATCAAAGTCTTGCAGCAAGTGAGCTAATTCTTCAGACTAAAAAGCCAGTTGTTCCCGAAGAGATACCTCAGAGGTGGTGCTTGTGATTAGCTGCCGAAAGACTCGAGCCCGCTGGTCAAGAGCATTCTCCAGCTCATTTTTAGTGGCCAAACCCCATCTCAGAAGCTCAACATTCTGGCGACGAACCTCTTGGAGCTCGATCCACCTTTGATGAACGTTGTCTCTCAGATGGTAAACCTCCCCTTTAAGGGCACAAACGTGCGTCACTACTTGAGGACAAAGAGAAAGATCACAACGTCACAAAGGTTGAAACTAGAGAAAACTAAAGGTAGGTCCTACCTCGAGAAGGGCTTGGAGTGTATCTCGGCCTAGCTTGGAAAGGAAGGTTGAAAGAATGACGCAAATCGACCTATGGAATCAAGTTAATGAGTGCGCAATTGCTTAGAGTCATGTCTTTCAATAAGTTCCTTTCATGGTCAACTATCAGAGCCTGAGTAGCGCAAAAAAAGCTGGAACCCACAACTCCAACAAGAGAAGAACCATGTCAAATTGACCTTCCTACCAGATTGATTGCAACTGTGCTCAATGTAGCTTCCCCAGCACCAGTCCCTGGTTCTAACACCTGCACCTCCTTAGTAGTGGGCATAGGCTCAGAAATCGGCACCCCATCAGTACCAGGAAATATCTCGGGCAGGGGAGGGAGGCTCAGTATCGGTACAAGTACCAACGCCTCGGCGGCAACACCAGGAACCTTAGATTCAATACCTAAGCCTGAAGCCGGGTTCTAACCGCTCTCCCCTTGTCTGGCCCTCTTCGTTGAAGGCTCTGAACCCCTGGCTCGCCTCCTCTAGCCTAAGTGTTCCATGATCATATTCCGTTGGTTGACTTGGTACGTAGGGACTGAACATAATAAGTAGATAAAGGAATAAGGTCTTTTGAGCACATTGAAAAGAAGTTAGTAAAGGAAAACAATAGCAAATACTCATAGGTGCTCAACATAAAAGTATGCTTGGGGTGCATCAACTCATTAAGTGAGAATGGCAAACGAGTTTGGACTTGGTTGACATATCTTGCTCCTCCCTAGATAAGGCCAGAAGCTCGTCTGCAACACATGAAGGAAATAAATACCGTCAACACAAAAAAAAGGGTAAACATCGCAATAATAAACTAGTAGAAGGAGAGCTTACCAAGATTCCTACGTTCTTTCCAAGCCATGGGAACTCTGACTGATGCTAAAACATGAAACGCAAACTCCCATCCATCTCCAGAGGCAAAGAAGTATCTTATCCTCCATCTTTCTGGCTCAGGTGGAAGGTCGATGATGGGAATTTCTCCTCCCTGCTTGGAGACGAAATAGTAGAACTCAGATACCTCTACTGGGTAGAAAAATTTGAGAAACTTAGCCAAATTGACCCTAGAATGTGGAAATAGTCTCTCCCACATCACCATGAATGCCAACAAGATCGCCCACCTGGATGGGAGAAGCATGGTGGGGCAGAAACTAAAAAAATATAAAATCCCTCGGATGAAAGGGGGAAAAGGAAACTGAAGTCCCAACAAAAAAGGGACTTCGAAGAAGTAAACTAAGCCCTCTGGAAGCGGTGCAATCGATGCCAATCAGCATGGCAAAAGACCACTCTAGTGGGAAACTCGAAATGCCTGGCAATAGCTTGGGCCTCTCCCTCATTAATTTCACTAGCTTCAGCATTAGGGAAGATTTGCTCCATAGTATCGTAGGACGAAGAAGGAGTCCTAGCCATGAGAACAGAATGTGAATGGGTTTTCTAAACACCAAAGAAGAAATCTTACACTAGGGAAGGGGAATAGGAATAGGAAGTTTTGGCGCTCAAAGTAAAGAAATCATTCTCCAAGAGCGGCCAATTTATAGGCAAAACAGATATGCTTGCAATGCCTCTACATGGAGCAATTAATAAGCATCCATCACATTTATGACAAGGGACAGGTGGTGACTATAGGAGCCCTTAGGCACAGCTTTTGAGGAGCCATTACCACCACTGGCGGCCCACATTCCCCAACTAAATAAAATCGTCAAGTTTGCAGTACACAAAAAGGAATGGGAAAAGTCTAAAATAATCCCACTCGAATTAGCCAACTCAGCTCGAAAAATGGGAACGGTCATCATAACAAAGGGATAGAGTCAGCTTAGTAAATCGACAAAGTCAATTAAGGAAAGTGGTTAGTGCCATTTTCGCTCTATTAGAATTACTGTCAAAGGCAACTTGATGATCACAGTTTGTTGTTACCAAAATTGGCAACAAGTCCGACAACAACATGACTCAAAGTAAACATTTTCATCCATCGGTACCGAAGAAGAGCAAAGTGAATTGCAGCACATTCATGAAACATAAATAGCCAATAAAGGGAGCCAGTAATAGTGTCATTAATAAAAAGAGATAAGTATAAAGGCAACATCCAAGAGATTACCATGAAATAAAGAAGAAAAGACAGCAATAAGCTAGGTTCAAGCGACAGACTCCCTGCCCCCACTGGCCTCATTAGTTTCTTCCTCAGCACTGGGCTCTTCTATCCCATCCACCTTGGCCTCAGGACCCTTCTCGGCTCTAGACACCCCAGTCGTCTCAGTAGTTTCTTCCTCAGCACTGGGCTCTTCTATCCCATTCACCTTGGCCTCAGGACCCTTCTCGGCTCTAGACACCCCAGTCGTCAAGTTCGGGTCAGCTGAATCAACCACTCTAGCCAATTTTTTCATCTTGAGATGCGATGCAAAGGAATCTAGATCAAGGTTTGGATAAGCTCTCTCTACTTATTCTCGAAAGTTCAAGAACCCCTTCATAAAGGCAACAACACCCTCTTTGAGATGCTCAAACACTCTGGCCCTTAGAGACACCAACTAAGTGTCCTTGGCTGCCAATTCAGCATCTTTTGTCTTAAGATTGTCTTCTTTGGCTGCCAGGTGGGAATCCTTAAGACTGGTAAGGTCCTTGTAATGGGCGTCCAACTCGTCATTAATTCTTTTCAGCTCAAAAGTTTCAGCTGTCAAAACCTTCACCTTCCCCTTAGTAGTCTCCATACCCACCACCGCGGCTTTAGCCAGATTCTTGGTTTCCATCAGCTCCTGCTCGTAATGGAAGTCCATCATCCTCACACAAACAAGTGACTAAAAAAAATGGAAATTAGTCAACACAAGGAGGACCATAAAAATGCCTCGGAAGGAGTACTTCGGAGAAGAAGGGAAAATACGAAACTTGGAGTACCTCAGCTAAGCCCCAGATGGCACGATGAGTCTTATTCTTGAAGTAAACGCGCCTAGCCGCCACAGGATCCAATGTGAGACCCCAAGTCGATCAGGGCGGCCACAGCAGCCTCGGGGTCATGAAGAAATCCACTCCCTTGGGCTTTGGACTGGGAAGTGATGGATTTCCCCTTGTCTACCTTCTGAGGAACAGACTGAGGAGGGACATGAGAAGCTGCTGAAGCCATGGGATATGCAGTTAAGGACTCCTTAGGTACCGATTTACCCTTAGGGAGCTCGGGGAGCAAAGATGGTGAGCCAGCACCTTTAAAGGAGGCAAGAACATCACATTTTCCCTCCAAACTAGCTGGCGCCTGTCCAGATATTTGCCCTTCCTTGGAGGCAATTGGGAATTCTTCACCAACTTCCCTTCTTCCTCGTATTCGACATCCGAAAAAACCACCATGATTAGATCTTGGTCCATGGATTCAAGTTGGGGGCAGCCAATTGTGTCGTATTTGGAGCAGGATCAATGGGCGGCCTGAGTTTGTGCTTCGCAAGGTTCTCGTCAATTACAAGCTCAGAAAAATATTGCAATCCCAAGGCCTCAGCTCTGGCAACTCTGGCTGCCTCTTTTGCATTAAGTGTTGGACAAAACCTGCAAGTCAAATCAAGAGTTAGCAAGATTGTGATGAAGACAAGTACAGAAATAAAAATACAACCAACTAACTGGCCTTATTGATATTTTTTGGAACACCCCAAGATGTAGGAATGCAAGAAACATCACCAGGCTCGCCCGACAGCTCCTAAGAGTTGCCTCTAACAAAAAAAAAACCTCTGTTTTCATCCATTGTTATAGGAGGGGAGTCCAAAAATCAAATTCTTTGCCTTTACCCTCTTGTAAAAATACAAAAAGCCTAAAGAATGAGATGACTTAAGCTGGAAAAGGGAGGCGTATTCCCGAATGGTGGAATGAGAGTCATTCCCATTCTTAAACCAGTGAACGAGGAAACTGGTTAGGAGACCCCCGACCATTTGAAGAAAGTCGAGCTGGGCAAATATGGTGAAAAGCAAGAATATCCCGAATGTAGGGATGAATAGGGGATCATAGACCATCTGGGAATGCTAATTCAAAAAAATAGGTCAATTCAGGAATAAAGGAATTACACCTCTCATGCTTCTTAGAAGAATGTAATAATACAGAATTAGATAAATAATATTCCTGCCTTAACCCCTCTAAATCCTCGTCATCAAGGTGACTAAGAGTCAACTCAGCACAACAAGTTAGGTCAGATAGATCCCTATGAGTTTTCTTCTTGGGTCCAGGAGTCAGAGCCATCTTAAAATTCCTCTTCTTAGACTGATAGAGGAAACGGGGGGCAACGCTAAGGGATCCTGGACCTCAACTAGAGGGGCCGAGGTTGAAACCTCAAGGGCTAACCTGGAAGCCTCCTTGGCAGGTCCTCTAGGAAGAAACTCTAAATTTTTTGCCTAAGAAAGAGAAAATCAGTCATCACCGATGGGTTCATTGCTAGCAGTGGGAGAGGAGGCCTCTTCCTCAGAATGGCCACTAGAGGAAGCTGTGGTAACCTTCTCAACCTCCTCGTCTACTTGTTCCTCAAACTTGGATTCAGAAGAAGAAACAACAACCCTCCCCATTGATGGCTCAGATCGCAAACCAAAATAAAGAGAAGGCAAATACAAGACACTTTCTGTTAAGAACAAAGGTTTCAGGCACCAGATCCTAAAAAAAGATAGTCTCAACAATGAAGAGGGGTCTATAAAGTACAAAAGGGAAGAAAAATCATCGAAATGATTCCTAAAGTAGCTAAACCTCCAAACCAAAAAATGGAACCCAAAGCCTCACCAGGGAGGGTTGAAAGGATTCAAATAGAGAAAAAAGAAAGAAGGGAAAGAAATGTACCCAGTTAGATGCTAGAAGCAGAAAGGAACTAGGAATGCGAAAACCCTAAGTCGCCAAAAAGCTTGGAACAAGATGCCTCATAAGCTGAAGGAATAAAGAAGGCACAAAGAGATGAGGATTCAAAAACACCAAGTGGGAAAGACGAATGGATTTTCCCTCTCTTTTATACTTAGCATTTATTTCCTAACAAAGCGTGAGACAGAATGTGTGAAGGAATTCATACCAAAGGACCCTCCTACGATTGACACGTGCACTTTTCTAAGCATAACTGTCCCATAACAACAAGCATGGTTTAGCCCAGCACGCCCCAAGAACAGCGTCGGCAATGATGTGCAGCCGTCACCTAGGGAGACTGTGCCAACTTTGAAAAAGATAATTTTAACCTCAGGTCAGAGTTAATGTCATCCTCGTGACCTGGGCCTAGGGGCAACTGATACTGATGGGATTTTGGACATGGGCCACCCAATCAAAAATCCTAATTCACTTGGAAGGCCATCATTTGTAAAACCACCCAAACAGCCCATCTACTTGTTCAAAGGGAAAATTGGGTCACAAGGAAGAAAGCCCATCGACGCCAGAGATCCAAGGAAGGTTTACTCCTTATATGCCCATCAAAGTTGAGGGTTATCGAGATCGATCTAGAATGATCAAGCTAATGGAACCATTAGAGGGCCATTGGTATGTGACACACCATCCCAAGTTCCCTTATTATCACCAACCATGACTTTTGTCCATAACCCAAAAGACTAAGAAATCATGCATCTAGGCCGACCAGCGTAGGTTGGAGGAGTTCGAGGAGGAGGCCCAAGAGGCGAGGGAGTTTTTTCATAGAAGATCTTGAGATAAGGGTTATCAAGTCTTGATTTGTTATTTCTCCACCTCCATAATGCGCAGTGGCCCCAAAAAAGGCCACAACTGAAGAGAAAAAGAAGAACAAAGTGGAGCCTGAGTCTTCACCTGAGGAGGACATTGAAGAGAGAATAGTGTGGATGGTTGTAAAACATCTTAAAGCCTACACAACATGCCTCTAGAAACTTGTAAGGGGAGAAAGAAGGAAGACTCTACTGACAACGATCAGAGTAATGGAGACGAATCCATCTAGTTCGACACTCTAGGGCATTCAGTGTCTATCAATGTTCTTGGGTTATTGCTGATATCATTCAAAATCAAGCCAACAATTAGGATCCCTAGAGGGGGATGTCAAAGAAACTAAGGCACAGGGGTCAAGGTTCCTAAATGATGTTGCACCAAATGAAGTCCAGTTAGAGTGTTCCCCTAAGAATGGCCCGACACAATAGTTGGAGAAAGACATAGATATAACATTTAGCGTCTAAAAAAATTGGTCATTTAGTAAACCTAAATGGCCTATGACACAATATTTGAAGCCATGGTACATTTGGACACATCTAGAGAGGAAACCCTTCAATAAGGTCTTGGTAGATACTGGGGGCAGTCGTCAATATATTTCCCATAGCTACATGATAAAGTTAGTTAAGAATAAATAAGATTTGGTCCACATCAAATTGACAGTAAGCGACTTCACTGGTGGGATCGACAAGATGGTGGGAGTTTTACATGTCGAACTGGTTATTGGCAGCAAGGTCGACATTTGAGGTAGTAGAGGCTGGTCATACCCTTTTTGTGGTTGACATCCATATGGCCAACGCCTGGCTATACAATGAGGTGGTAGGACTAATGAAGTTCCAGATATAGGATAAGTATGAAAAACTCATAGAAGTCGTGTTTCAGATCGACTTGAGGTCGACAGAGGTCTAACAAGTGGAGGAAGAAGTCAGTTGACCCACAAATGTATCAAGCCTAAATGATTCTAGAAACACAAAATGTTTGGTTATTAATGGAGCTTAACAAGAGTGAGAGAAAGAAGCAGATCGCGAAGGCCTCCATCGCTAGGATAAGAACTTATTTGGCAAAAAGGAAGGCCACAACATTGCAAGTAGCCAAGGGACAGTAAGGCACCATTAACATGGTGTAGTGTGAGGAGGAATAGTTCAGACAAACTACCTCCTGAGAGTTCATCAGGTTAGATGAAATTGGTGTTGCCCCAACTGAGCTTGATGACCTCATTGAGGTTCAGGATCCTTTACTTGAAGTTAAGATGAACATATACCAACTTTTGTCAGCAAACTATTGGAGCCAAATTTTCAAGCACGACTCATACAACTATTAAGAGAATACCGGGATTGTTTTGCCTGGAGTTATGAAGAAATGTTAGGGTTGGATCCAACCTTATTAGAGCGCTGATTACCAATTAGGAGTGGATACAGGCCGATCAAATAGGCCCCGAGGTTGATGTCCCAAGAAGTAACCCTACTGAGAAAAGAAGAGATTGAGCGTCTCTTGCAGGCCAAGTGCATCTAAGTGGCACGATACGTGCAATGGGTATCTAACAATGCACTAGTCACGAAGAAGACTGACAAGATTAGGGTTTGATACGACTATCATGACCTCAATGTAGCAACCCTGAAAGAAGAATATATCATTTCATTGGTCAATCAACTAGTGGATGCAACAAATATGAACGCCATCATGTCTTTCTTGGATGACAATGCTAGATACCATCAGATCTTCATTG